CCCCCCCCCCCCCCCCATATGTTGAGATTGACTGGTTAAAAATTGTCTCATTTTGATGCCTCGAATATGGTTAAGGTTTATTGAACCCCCAGGCCCCCTTTATCAGTTTTGTACATAACTAACAGTTTTTACACATTACTTGTGAAGCATTTCATTTTTAATATGAATTAGTACATGCGCCTCTATTTACTTATTTACTGTAAAAGAGTATTAAAGAAGAATTTTAAGAATAAACTTTTATTTAACTCTCGACACAGAGACCGAATTTAAAGAATTTGAGCTGCGGCTTAAATTTAAGCTGCTGCTCAAATATGATTGGTTCCACTTTGGCGGATTTGAGACGCGGCTCAAATTCATTAAATTCGGACTCAGTTTTTTTGGGGGAGGGGGGGGGCTAATTTATGAGTTTTCTCTACTTCATCAATTTGCAATTATGTTTGATTTAAGGGGGGGGGGGGGGTCTGTAAAATCTGAACCTCCAAAATCAGCTCGACGGGCGGAATGGATGAAAGCTTGTGGTCTCTCTAGGCATGTCTCTTATCATATCAAGGTTAATTTTTATGTTTGGATTATTCTGTATTCTCTGGACCCCAGGAGCATAGTGGAGCTGAACCAAATGGGCGGATTTGAGGGAAACCTTGAGTAACCCCGGTAGTAACTAAGGCCAAATAAAAAATTTTAAATTTAATTTTTTTCTTAACCATTTAAAAAAAAAATGTTTTTTTAAACTCCACAGGCAACGCCGGGCACTTAAGCTAGTAATACATACCTATATCACATTTATATGCAGATGATATAAAATGTGCATTTTTTAACATTTTTAGCGCAATGCAGGAAGCGCACTGGAATTTCTAGCCTTTTTACACAGGCACATTTAAAAGTCAATGCTGTATTCTGTATTTATTGAGCGTATTCTTCTCACAGCATACAATCTTCAGTTGCTTTCAATGGACTTTAGTTTTTTGCTTGATAATTTTGATATCTATTTTCAGTAGAAGTTTCATCTCATGTTTAAATTCTTCAAATACTTTTGAAAGAAATACTCTCTTTTGGGCTTTTCCAAGTTTAGTTTATTGCTCTAATATAATCCTGCAGTTTGGGCTCTTCTGTAGTTTTAGTCTTTACTTGAAGTTCAGTTGAACTTTAGCTTGGACACTGAACAGAGGTCTTTAAGAGGTTCAAGAGTAGACGTAGCTCTGTTGAGTTTTAGCTTCAGCTGTGATTGAACTCTTCCCAGGAAGAATCAAACACGGAGTTGGCACCATCCTGCATAGGATTATATTATTCTGTGCACAAATCAGATATATGCAAATAATAATTAAACAGAGCTGAAAGCTTCAGAATGTAATATCCTTAATCCCGATCGGTTAATTAATCTGGAGATTAATAGCAAGAGGAGAACAAGCATTATTCAATCTGAAGATTCAGAAAAAGAGTGGATCAAGCATTAATTCCGATATCCACCATTCAAAAGTTCCCAGCTCAGATTTTCTATTTATGATACCATTGTTTAATTTATGGCGTTAGGAAATTTAAATACCTATTAATGGTCTGGCTTATCTTGACTCAGGGCAGGTATTCTTGAATAAGCGGGTGCCCATGGATTCAGTATTCACCTTCTGCAAAATGAAGAATTGAATAGTCATTGTTTTCTTGTTCTTTCATCTATATCATATGGCGAATCACATGATTTCTTTTCTTGATAACACATCATCTCCAGGTGAATCTTCTTTATTGTCTGGTGTTTCAATACTGAGATTTATTAGATTTTACATAATATTTAAGAATATACGGGAGATCAATATAATTATTTATGACAATTTTTTTTGGACGATAATTTTTATTTTTCTATGATCTAGGTGTGTGGAAAGCATTTTGCTCCAGACAGTTATGTTCGAAACCTCCAAGCAGAGCTATTAAACTATCAACCATACAGGCAAGGGCATGTTTTTTATAAAACATTCCCCCCCCATATATTTCCCCAGTATTATAGGAATATCAATTCAGGATTTAAACCAGAGCAGGGGCAAAATTAATCTTAAAAAGGGGTGGGGGAAAATTGTCCTCCCTGGGAGTTTTTTCTTGCACATTATTTGTCCCCAATTCAAAGACTAGAATCAATAACAATACAATAATTATGATCCCTTTAATAGTTCTGCTATTGTAGTCCTCTATAGTTCATCATTAGTCCCTCCTCCCTCCCATAATGTAGTGTCGTGTTGCCCTTCCCCCTTCCCCCCCCCTTTCATAAGCCACTGAAATTTTAGACTTAGTTCAAAGACAAAACGTTTTTTTCATTCATAAAATGAATGATTTCAAGGTCAAAGTCACATAAATGAGGGTAAAAACTTTATGGTTAATTGGATGGGTGTTTATTCTTTTAAAAATATATACCCTTAAATACAGGAAAGTTCTGTCGGAGCAAGCTGTTCCGTCCCTCTGCCTTCCTACATCTACACCTGAATCCACAATCATCAAGCAAGAAAACGAGGATGGTTTAGAACTTGTAAATGTGAGGATTGAAGATGGTATCAAGCAAGAAAACGAGGATGGTTTAGAACTTGTAAATGTGAGGATTGAAGATGGTATCAAGCAAGAAAACGAGGATGGTTTAGAACATGTTTATGTGATGATTGAAGATGGTATCAAACAAGAAAACGAGGGTGTGCTTGATTATGTCAACGTGAAATCTGAGGATGGCTTCAAGCAAGAAACAGACCCTTTGGCTGGTTATTAGTAAATTAACTTTGTATTACTAAAAGAATAGATTGAAAAATGTAATTTAGCTTTCTTAGTTTTTATGTAAAGAGTTTATTTTCTTATAAGCTCCCTGCCCACCCCCTGGCCTAGTGGTCCTGGAGGGGAAGCAGGGGAAACAAAAATGTAATTTTGATATGTAAAATTTGTTCAACTTATTATTTTTTATGAATCTCAAAATCTCAGAATAATAATAAATAAAAAATAAATTGAAGAAAGCTTAAAACATTTATAAAAGATACAAATGTCGCTTAAAAATGATATTTTTTTCATTTTAACAAATTGCATGAAATTTGTTAAAGTTTTATTTCATATTCTCTCTTGTTCAGTCGTAATGTTCTGTTATAAAGCAATATATTGAATTTCTGCCAAAGATAACGTTAAAAGTAATGTTGAAAATAAATTTTAATAATATTGCAGAAAAAAGAAATAAATTCAAACACAAAATGGCGTGGATATCAGAGCTGGTAACTTTAGAATGGTGGATATCGGGATTAATGATTAATCCTCTCTTTTTGCTAATCTTGAGACTAATATAATCTCGAGATTATGTTAGTCTCGAGATTAAATATTAAGATAAACAAATTGGATTCTATGAACGCCAGATTGGTTCGTTTTCTTGACTGGAAGGGCCTTCGCTTAATTTCTCACCCATTTATTTATTAATACATTAGTTAAATTGGTTAAAAAAGAATCTCAAACGTATTATTAAATGTTTTTCTTCACCGATTAATTTACAAAGTGGCCGACAATATATTCTTTATTTGTTAGAAATTGCGGATTTCTCTCATGGGATAGAATTTATTTTCAAGGCTGTCATTGGTCAATAAAATTTACGAACTATATTCCTGCACTCTCATTGGAGAAAACAATGTACGGATATCCAAAGAGAGAAAAAAAGAGTGGATTAAGGACTAAAATTTAAAGTTTCCACAGTGGATATTCGGATTAAATAGTTGGGATTAAAGGTTATCCATTCTAAAGTTCCCAATCCCAGCTCAGGATTAATGCTTGATCCACTCTTTTTCTTAATCTCGAGATTAAATAATGCTTGTTCTCCTTTTGTTATTAATCTCCAGATTACGGGGTTAAGGATATCCTGTATTAAAAAGGGGATTATTATAACTGTTCTCAGACCAGGTGTAATCTTCAAAATTCGCAGTTATACGGTGTTACAATTGTGCTTGATGTTTTAATCTAATATTTGTCTTATAATTCTTTATTTTTTAAGCATATACTTATATATACTACATATTATGAATATAAATATCTTAGAAATTATACATATATACGTTTTGGTATAATTTTGGCACAGTTTTATATCAATTTCTCAAGACAAGAACATCAGATAGAACTCTTAAAGGTCTCAATCAGTTATTGAGATTCTCATGTTTCAGCCTATACCCCCTTTCATTTTTCCTTTACAGTCCCTTTAAACATTGATCCTCAAATTAAAAGTGCCCGAAGTGGATACCGAAATTAAGTTCCCAGCTCTGAGATAGATATAATCAAAGGTGTGGAACAGTTTTCATCATGATAAATGAAGAGTAAAAAGACATCCCACTTGCTTCTGTAGATAGCTTGTGAATATGAATAGAGTAAACACGTTTCGCCATTATTTAATTGGATGAGCAGAGACATCATTTGCAAAAGAGAAGAATATTTGACAAATGAAAGTTTTTCTCTTCGAATTCAGAATTTTAAGTTTTTTTGTCAAAAACGCATAATAAAACAATGTCAACTCACCGGTTGCTGAAGAATTTTAAAAATATTTTTCTTCAAAATTTTGATAAAAATACATTACATACCATGACTTAGATAATAGAAAAAAATAAAATGGTAAAAATTATTTTTAAATGTGATTTTTATGGTGGCTTTTTTTCTTAAATTTATTAAAAGGGCAAATTTATTCACTAAAATGTTTCTGTTTACACTGCATAGTTGCCATATCTCATATTATATCATATCTGTTCGGTTCCATAGTAGTAAACCTATCGTGTAAGAATTCCCATTATTACACGGTTCAGGAGGAACAATTTTAATATTGTTCGCTTCCTTGCGTTTAAGAATGTTTATTCTTACACTGTAGGTGTAGAATTTTCATTCTTTAACGCTCAGACCGTGTATGAATGGAAATTATTACACGGTCAGAGCGTGAAAGAATGTATATTCTTACAGGCTCCATGCATTAAAGAATGGAAATTCTTACACTAGTTAAAGAATATTCATTCTTACACGCTCCTTATATTGATCTTTTCAGTATAGATCAATATTGATATTAACTTAATTATTTTGTACTGACACATGCACAGGGCAAACTTACCTTTTTAACTTAAAAACAACATGCTCACTTACCTTTTTCTTTTATATTAAAACATGCAAACTTACCTTTTCTACTTTAGTAAAACATGCTCACTTACATTTTTCGTTTTTTGAAGTATTGATATACCTTAATTCAGAAATATCAATTTGAATTTTAACCCTAGTCCTGACAGAAGAGTGGAAATTAACATTTTCTGACCTTTCCCAAAAATATGGACGATGCCTTTAGCCTTACATTAGACACTTTCATCAAACTGTCGAGTCTTAAAGCATACTGCCCGACTGCCTACTTTATAAATTTTTTTAGTTCATCTTCATTTCTAACCAAGTTTGGTGAGAAATCTCTGCATACTTGTAATAGTATGGTCAGAGCTTTTCAGTCTGAGTCACCATATCTCGCATAGTTCGAGATGATGAAGTGAAACCAAACCAAAAAAAGTATAAAACTTATCATTGAAATATTAGTGTCACACTTTTTATGGAGTCTTAGCACTCCATAGCAATGTAAACAAACCAGTAAATCTTGCTTCATGAATAAAAGTCAAAGATCTTCATCAGTTTACGTCGAACTGATTCTTACTAGATAACCTGCTTTTATCTCCTCTTTTTGGAAGATTTAGGATCTAATATCCAGAAAATGATTTCTTCTATAAATGAAGACATGATATTGTTCAGTAGATTTAGAAAACCCACTACTATACCTTCTCTCCATCTAAAAACTCAGGGCACATTTAACATGCTGTATCTAAATATAGTATCAACTTAAAAAACGAGCAAAATCATTGGTAAACAAACAAACTAAACTAAGGAAACAATCACACCACATGCATTACTTTCAAATTAAGAACCAATTTTTACTTCTAAAATGTTTGTTTTTTAACATTTTAACATTAGAAAAATAAAAAACAGTGTTAGTCAGAACAAGAGCATAAAACTTATTTGCAACCTTTCATAACGTGAACTGTTCCAACTTGAAATATTCGGTTTTCACCAGAATTATTTTTTAATATAATTTCTTGGGTATGTGCCCATGGAACCTCACAAATATGATATAATACTATTCTTTTGAGGATAAAAATGTAATAATGGTATTCTTAAACTCGATGAAATAATCTTGATGCATTCTTTAACTCAGGCCTGCGGCCTTCGTTAAAGAATACATCAAGATTATTTCATCTCGTTTAAGAATTTCCAATATTACATTTTTTTCCTCATAAGATTATCATATTCTTTGGACTATTTAACTTAAGTCTTAATGTCGTCTTTCTATTCCACAGTTGTATGGTTCTCACTGTAGTCAACTTATCTCTGCCTAACTAACTTTTTGCTCTGGTTTGTTTCAGTATTTTTATATTTGTCGAAGCTGCCTTTACATTCTTACATTCAATACACTGGGATCATTTCTCATGTAATTATCTTGTTCTCAATCACATCATTTACCCATTCATCAAATATTAAATCAGTTACTTGCATAATAATTTAAGATAATTAACATTTGAAGGGAGTGTCTGTCTATACATGGTAGTTGAGGTGAGAGAGCAGTATGGTGAGCCGCGTCACCACCTGCCTGTGGGCGAGCACCAGGAAGATTTTAAAGACCGATTTTGCGCTCTTTCTTAGCAATTTTACATTGTACAAGCGTCTCAAATTATTTCTAAAAAATCTCTACAATACTGCTCTCTCAGCTCAACTAGCATGTCTAGCCAGACACTCCCTTTCAGTAAAAGTATACAGAGTACATTTATCTGTTATAAATATTATCAAATTTAGAGAAACCAAGTATCACATTTTACAAGAACTGGTCGGGTTTTAATTTACGTAAAAATTGATCCATTTAAATTTATTTCTTATAAAAAAAAATATTGTTCGATTAAGTAAATAATTTATACAAATAAGATTTTTTTTGAGGGGAGGGGGGGGTGTGAAAACTCGTTGATTAAGAAATATGAAAAAAAATCTCGTACAAAATAATCTCTAGAAACTATCATTCATTCAAAGCAATTTGCAAATATGGAGCAGAGAGAGAAAAAGTAAAAAAAATCAAATAAACAAGTTTTATAAACAAACCAACCTTAAAAATATTTTTATGAATTAAATTCAGAAATATTTTTCTCTTTGAATCTTTTTTTACAAGGCTGGGTGCGAGCTGTCTAGAGTTAGTTTCGAGGTATAAAAAACCGGTTTCAATGTTTACATTTTAGTTTCGAGGTATAAAAAACCGGTTTCATTGTTTACAATCTTGACATAGTTTAACAACACTGGGATAAAGGAGGAAGGAAAAATTCTCCATGCTAATCTTTATTTTTTTTACTTCTATAATTTCCAAGTTTAAGTCCTTCAAATACAAATCTACAAAACTATTTTAGTCTTTTTAAAATACTTGTCATGGAGAGTTTTTACTTCCTCACGTAGGTGCACAAAGGGGGTGATCAATAATTTTTCTAATTAAGAAGATCATGTTTAGTCCCACCCTTGGACGAATACTTCAAATGAATCTGTTTAAATTGTACAGTGACTAAATTCTGAATAATTCAGGGTAAACCCTAAATCTGTTTATACTTAACAATATGTACTGAGTACTGTAAAGTGTAGACCGTACAATGTACCGTGTACTGGAGTGTGCTGTGTACATTGTACAGTCTATAAATGAAGCAAGTGAAAAAGTGGAAACAGTGGTTTGTTATTATCAACTAAAAGAATCCAAGTTAAGAGCACACCAAAAACGAGTTTGTTTTATTGTACTGTGTACGAATACTGTACAATGTACAGAGGGTATGATAACATAATTCCCCTAGCGATTAATCTGAAGAGTTTGCTAGCAAACTAGGTTTCCATTCTATTAATATGAGTCATTTTTCTAAATCTATTAATCATTAAATCCAATCTTGGGTCTCTACTCTCTACGGTCAACTTTATTCCCTTTATCAATTTAGTGTCCGTCGATCAATGTAGTGACCGGTAATATCAATGTAGTGTCCGTTAATATCGATGTAGTGTCCCTCAATCAATGTAGTGTCCGTCAATATCAATGTAGTGTCCGTTAATATCAATGTAGTGACCGTTAATATCAATGTAGTGTTCGTTAATATCAATGTAGTGTCCGTTAATCAATGTAGTGACCTTTAATATCAATGTAGTGTCCGTTAATATCAATGTAGTGTCCGTGAATATCAATGGAGTGTCCCATACCGATCTTGTGTCCTTTTCATTGAGCAAGTATTCATTTTATCAATCTAGTGCCCCTAAAAACATCCTATATCAGTCTAGTGTCCCGTAATATTATCTTATTTCAGTCTAGTGTCCTTTATATCACTCTAGTGTCCCGTAATATCATCTTATATCACTCTAGTGTTTCTTTTATCAATCTATTTTACCTTAAAGCATCTTATATCAATCTAGAGTCCCTTAATATCATCTTATTTATATCAATATCCTATGTCCCTGTTACCAATCTAGTGTCCCTTTTATCAATCTAGTGTTCCTTTTATCAATCTAGTGACCCTGTTATCAATCTAGTGTCCCTTTTGTCAATCTAGTGACCCTGTTATCAATCTAGTGACCCTTTTATCAATCTAGTGTCCCTTTTATCAATCTAGTGACCCTTTTATCAATCTAGTGTCCCTTTTTTCAATCTAGTGTCCCTTTTATCAATCTAGTGACCCTTTTATCAATCTAGTGTCTCTTCAATCAGATGTCCCTAGCTCAAATTTTTTGTTGATAAACCCTCGATCAAATATTTCATTTTGTCACTTCTGCTTAACTGTGGTAAAATTGAGAGCTTTCTTCGTCAATGGTTTAGTAATTAGCATCCTATTAATAGAGGGAATTTTAATAAAACTTTTTAAAAAATTCTGACCTTAATTTGCACGGATTTTCTCTTCTCAATCAAGTTTACAAAATTTAGAGTAAAACAACAACAAAAAACAAGTTTACACATTTTCACAAAATGAAAAATTGTAAAATAAATTTTAAATGGGTAAGTCAGTATGCATGAATTTTTTCATATATGAATTAATGTTGATTTTTTCTTCACTGAATACAGTTGGGGGAAATTTTGCATCTCAAGTTTTTTGCATCTTACAGATGATATTTAAAATTTTCTTTGAAAATTAGCTTTAAAAATATAGGGGTAGGGGGTGGAAGAAAAAAAGAATACAATTCTTTAATGGTTTGTCATGTGCTACTGGCAATAACTTATGTACGAAAACATAATGTACAATGTACACTTTATATAGCGTACTTTAGAATGCCAGAAGATATTTTTAAAAATAAACATAAATAAAAGCTCTGTTGGCAAGCTGAATATTTTGATTTTCTGATTCATAATCCTGAGTCGACATTTTAACATTTTTGAGCAGAAAGTTTCATATAAACATTTTTAAAGTTAAAACAGGAATTAATTACTGTTTCTTACTGAAATTAAGGACTGGTAAAAAAAAAACTTACAACCACTCGCAAATATATGTAATTAGCACTATCTACATTATTAAGCTAGAAGAAGCACGTGGAAAACGATGCCGTAGTTCTGTAGAACATCGTGTGTGTACTATTAAGTTCGGTTGAACAGGCGTGTGTACTCTATAGTTTGTTTGAACAGGCGTATGTACTATGTATTACTTTTTCAAAGATTTCTTAAATTTTCACTAGAAACGGCGACGAAATGCGCGAGCTATTATAAACCGGAATATGTCACTGGGATAAATTAAAACTGTGTATTGTACACTTTATACTTGTTGTGTTCAGCTGTAAGTTTGGTCCATGGTTTGCAAGTTAACCACATGCTTTCTCTTATACCCGTCATATTTGACCATGTCCCTCCTTCTAGGAGTGGATCCGCCATCTTGATTTCTTGAGATAAATCAAGGATTAGAAAGTTTTGTACTCTTTGAACTTTTTAGCTCATTGAACTGCATCTTAGAGCAGGGGAACCCATCTAAAATACAACATTAATTAAGTTTGAAAATACAATTTTTAAATTTTAAACATGAAGAGTCTTCAAATACAGCATGTCCCAGGAAACATGACAATAATAGTGTTATATTTGAAAGTGGGGTTGGGGATGGTTACAATAGGTCAAAGTTTTACGAATTGATTAATAACATGAAATAAATGTAAATAACTTAAAATTTGACATTTTTTCTGATGATGGATGATGGATAAATGTGGATGTTATTTTTTACTAAAATATATACAGTTTATACAAAAAACTCGTATGTTTGAAGACGACTTTTAGAATTAATTTAAAACTTTCAAAAGTCGAATGAGCATGAGACACGGCAATTTTTCCGTTTACACAGACCCATATCAGGAAATTCGTAATTAGATAATTACGTGTCTAGTAACACTATTTGCTTTTTAATAACATCAAATATTCTAAAGTATTGTTTTAATTCGTCTTCCTATTCCATTGTTTTCTGGTTATCACTGTACTCCTGATTTATACCTGTGTAAGAACCCTATCTAACCACTGTAAAGGACCGTTTAAATGAAGTTCTATCCAGCAGGGTGTTGAGGTCACTGTTTGACGTCTGTACTCTGCACCCCAACCCTAGTTAAACAAGATTAAACTTAAAGATTTCAATTTAGGGGTACACAACTTAAATGTAGGCTGTAGCTACCTCTTCCCTTTTCTAAACAGTTTGCGATAAAGAAAATCAAATAAATTAGGTGTTTTTCATTATCATATATCAAATAAAAAGTTTGGCAGAATCCAAATTAACTTTTATTTGCCAAACGTTTGGAAGAAAGATATCAAAGAAAAAACTTTTAAATAATGTTTATCAAAAATTCAACCTCCCCCCCCCCCATCAATTTGTTGTGATGTTATACACCCCTGAGTTAATTAAAACATTAAGTTTTCAAACAAAGTTAGATGAGAGGAAACAAAGTCAAAAATAAGCAGTATAAGTTTTGTCGGTAAATTTCTGTAAATTAACATTCTTTCATTATTACAAATTAAGTTTAAATGTATCATATATAACTATAACCTATATAAATTTACGAAGTAAGTACAGTGAATCCCAGATATATGAATAATCATGTTTTTGATTGATTGACATGTGCTCAGGGGTTTAATTGATTGATTGGTATTTGTTAAGTTTGTAACCTGAAGTAGGCGTTAATACTAAATAGTAATAAATTTTATTCATGTTTTTATTTTTAACGTGATAAATTTTATTCATGTTTTTATTTTTAACAGGCTATATCATACAGAGACAAATGTACATTTTAACATTAGCATAAACCTCCTTGAATTGAACCTTATTACCTTAACAAAGGACATCCTGATAGTGCACATTCTCGTGAGTGAGTAGACAGCCTCAAACCCCTGGTTTACGCTCTGGGAGAGAAGGCTCGCAAACTCCTGGTTGTTGAAAATCTTCAGGTTACAACCTTAACAAATACCAATCAATCAATTAAATCCCTGACCACAGGTCAATCAATTAAAACCCTTCAACACCTACTAATCAATCAATCAAATAACCCCCTTAACAAAGACAAACAAATCAATCGATTAAACCCTTAAACACATACTAATCAAACAATCAAATAAACCTCTTGAACAAATACAAATCAATCAATGGTTTAACCCCTTGAACAAATACAAATAAATCAACCGATTAACCTCTTAATCAGCCAACCAATCAATTAATCAAATAACAAAATAAATTAAACCCCTGATCATAAACCAGCCAACCAATCAATTGATTAAATAACCCCCCTGAACACATACCAATCAATCAATCAAATGACATTCTACGCATACTTATCAATAAATCAGTCTGAAACTTGTTTTACCTGGAGGTATTTTACAAACGGTTGCGGGGTGCCAACCATATCTTTGATTACAGTTAGGAGACTGAACGAAGATGGAGGATTCAGATTGACACTCGGCAAACACCTCACCACCAATATAGTACAATCTCACACCCTAAACAGAAAACAGTTCAATCAATCATCAATCTAAACACCTCACCACCAATATAGTACAATCTCACGCCCTAAACAGAAAGCAGTTCAATCAATCAATCAATCTAAACACCTCACCACCAATATAGTACAATATCACACCCTAACCATAAAACAGTTCAATCAATCTAAACACCTCACCACCAATATAGTACAATATCACACCCTTAACAGAGAGCAGTTCAATCAATCAACCAATCTAAACACCTCACCACCAATATAGTACAATATCACACCCTAACCATAAAACAGTTTAATCAATCTAAACACCTCACCACCAATATAGTTATACAATCTCACACCCTAAACAGAAAGCAGTTCAATCAATCAACCAATCTAAACACCTCACCACCAATATAGTATAATCTCACACCCTAAACAGAAAACAGTTCAATCAATCTAAACACCTCACCACCAATATAGTACAATCTCACACCCTAAACAGAAAACAGTTCAATTTACACTGACTGAAGATATAGTAGGGTTTAGCGGAGAGTGCCTTTACAATCTTTGCTTGAGCAAAAAATATTAAGATATCCTTGCATTTCAGTCTGAAAAAGGATGAAAGGATGAATAGTTCAATGCATGACTAAATGACTGGATGAAGGAATAAAAGGATGCACGCATGAGTGTCATGAATGAAAGGATGAATAATTCCATGAATGACTGACCTGTCTGCATTGCTAGGATCTGTAAACCCGTCAACTGTTATACTGGGTTGGGAGGCATGGAAGGTTTCTCCAACTCTACAATAGAACAATCGTCATTTTAAAGGGAGTGTTCGCCAAACATATAAAGCGGTAAACAGGGGCGTATTTGTTCTGAGGGACTTAAATATTTTTCTTTCCATTCGGACCTGAAAACTATGGATTTCACTGTTCCGGGGGGGGGGGGCTGAGCCCCAATGCCCCCCCTAATACGCCTTTGGGGGTAAAGGCTAAACTGGAAACACTTTCGTATATATATTTTTCATGAGACATCCAAAAAGATTTATACAATTGTGTTCATTATGCTTTCTGTTCTTTTATGTAATCACAAAGTTTTTTATGCATAGGTTAAAAATAAAAAACTGCTGACCATTACAAATTCAGGGGCGTTATACACAGGAAGGCTGCCCCCTCTGGAAAAGTAAAAACTTTGATTTTAAGGTGGGATTCCGCCCCCTGATTCAGATTTTTAAGAAAGTATCTTTAAATACACTCCCGAGTTTCCTTTTTGGGTCCATGCATTAGCGTAGATTTTAATTTAATAAACAGAAAGCAAAAAAAGTAAAGGAATCACATGAAATAATTTTTCTTAACAATAATATTGGTTATTCATGAAACCGGGTTTCCGATACTGGATTTCATTACGATACTCTGTTTTAAGTTTCGGGCTCTTGAAGAATTTATGTTTTTTCAAATTTCGTACATAAAACTCTACTGTAGTGTCTGTACCTTGTACTGAGCTCGTAATAGGATATACTGCACCAGAAAGCAGGTTCGCAGTACATAACCGGTTCTGATTCCAGGGGCGGGGAGGGGGTTCCCCGCATTCCGGGGGAGGAAAAATCTGAAATCAAGCAATCGATTACAAAATACATCATAGCCATTCAGCTTAAAGGGATTGTAGAGGAAATTTCAAGTGACTCTCATTGTATAGATTTCTAATTGAACACTAAACACTTTCCTTCGTCAATAATAAATTAGATATCCTTATTTATAATTTGAACACTGATTATTTTCAATTTTGGTTTCCCTCAATAGTTACTTGTGTATTTCTGCTATAGGAAAAAATGGTCGTTTTTTTTAGGTTTAAAATTTATTATTTAATTAACAATGCGTTTTCCTGAACTGGAAATGCGCAGGTGACTTTTGTAGAGAGATCATAATTGAACATAATCAGATTTCCACATTTTGAACATTAATGTCTAATTTATACTTAATTAGACAACGCTTTGAGGGTATTATTGTGAATCGGGAATTGTCATTCTTGCATGAAGGGTTACTTGAAATTACGCATAAAATGTAATGTTTTGATTAAAACAGATGAATTTAAATATTTATTTTTAAATGTGTCTTTGTGCCAAACAATATTTTTACGACTTTTTCCAGATAAAAGTGTTAACCATATATTAATGAAAATGAATTCAGGTAATATATCTTAATAAATTTTCTACATTTTAGCTAAAATTAGGCAGTGTAGATATTTAAATAAAATCAAGAATTATATAAGAGAAAATAGTCGCGAGGAGCTCTGAATTTATCGTACAGTTGAACCCTTAAACTGTGGAATAAGATGACGACATCCATTTCAGCAATCGTATGTGTGCATAGCTTTGTTTGTTTTAATTTATTTTTTAGGTTTTTGAACATTTCAAAATTGTATTCTTATTTAAACTTTTAAATATTAATATTCATTTTTTGCCTACAATTACTCTCAGAGTTAAAAACTAATTTTAAGAAAAAAACAACCGCCAACCTATTCCACAATTTAATGGGGTCCACTGTGTATATTTAAATATATATTATTCAAATTGATATTTACCGCTTGTTGTACTCCCAGGACTACCAATACCCTCTCCATCGTCTGTTATATAACCTAAACATTTTAATGTAAAATTAGTTTTTAATTTTATTAATTTATATGATTTATAAATTTGATTATTTTTATCATTTATATTGAGAAAGGAAATGAGATTTTGCCACAAACTCTGATTTTCTTATCCCTATATTTTGGGCACGGGCCGCCGTAGTACATTTGAATTACCCGAGCCGGGTCAACCTTTCCGTTCCCAGTTTGTACTGTGCCTAGCTCTATGAACAGGAATAGCCGGTGCAATAAGGTTGACGTGATCAGACTTTATGGTTCATATAGGTTGAATTTACTTTTACTAAATGGGCAGAGATCTTAGATATTTAAAATTTAAAATTATGTTATAGATCAAATTGTCTATACTTGAAATATCAAAGGTTTGCGCCAGCAGGTTGCAAAGATATAGTGGTTAGAAAATTTGCTTTTGTGGCAATAACTCACTTCCTTTAATTATTTTCATCCGTATCTATCCATCTATCTATCTATCTATCTATCGTTTTATTTACATACATTTTTCTATCTGTTTATCTATCTCTTTATTTCATCTTTACACCCAACTATCTGTCTATCTAACATTGCACCTTCATATCTGTATTTCTAACTTTTTATCTATCTATAAGTATCCAAACTATCCATCTATCTATACAGTATCCAAACTATCCATCTATCTATAAGTATCCAAACTATCCATCTATCTATGATTTTAAAAAATTAGGCAAACCAAAGTATTTTATTCAATTTAAATGGATTATTACATCTAATATTTCCCGTTGTAGGGTGATTAAGTGACTTTATCGCCCTACAACAGGGCGAAAAAGTAACTTTTTCACCCTGATATTAAAATTTCAAATTTCATACCTAATTTTTCTCATTGTAGGGTGATAAAGTTACTTAATCACCATACAACAGGGTAATTAAGTAACTTTATATGTTATTGAAATGGGTATCATGCGTGCAAAAAGTTTTTGATGTGATTTTTAATTTTTCTAGTTTTTTTTCGAAAAACTTTTTCGCACTTAATAATACTTATTACAATGACATAAATAGAAAAAATGGTAAATATTCTTTTAATGTACTTTTTACAATCAATTATTGAAGAATGGATATTTATAGAAAATTTTGTAATCGAATTCTAAACTTATACAAGTTAGATATTATTACAGTTTCATAACTTAAGATTTGTGAAAACAGCTTTACACTTAATTATAACAATAATTATATTCATTAGAACTTGTAACAGTTTAACTTGTTAAAGAGACTGTTTGACGTAATTTTAAAAACACCTCCAGGGTCAAGTTCGACTCACAATGGTACTCTTTAAACCTTTCACTCATCTAGAAGAAAGATATATCCATTTTTTTCCCTGAAAATGATTATTTTGAATGTTTGTAATCTGCGGATTTGCATGCTGCCAAAAAAAATAGAGGAAATTATTATAATTAAACTTTTTTCAAAATAGAAGAAACGACGATACCTTCGATGCTCTCTTAAAACGGAGGGTCAGGGACAGCCGTAGTACATTTGAATTTCCGAGCCTTACTGTACTGTATCGCCCGGATATTGGGTAAATAAGGCAGACACTTAATAGGACTAGCCTGTGCAACAAGGTTGACGCGGTCNCTATCTGTCTATCTATCTATCTATCTATCAAGTATTTATCTATCTATCTACCTGGGGGTGGTGTCTCGTTCATGGGAAATGTTGAGGAGTCGGGGCAGGTTAAACACAACCCTGAATACATACAATTCAACATTTGGTTCAGGTAGTTCAGGTAGGTCATGTATGTCAGGTAATCAGGTAGGTCGGGTAGTTCAGGAAGCTTAGTTAGTTTAGGTAGTTCAGTTAGGTCAGGTAGGTCAGGTAGTTTAGGTAGTTTAGGTAGTTTAGGTAGTTCAGGTAGGTGAGGTAGTTTAGGTAGTTCAGGTAGTTTAGGAAGGTCAGGTAGGTTTAGGTAGTTCAGGTAGGTGAGGTAGTTTAGGTAGTTCAGGTAGTTTAGGAAGGTCAGGTAGGTTCAGGTTGTTTAGGTAGTTCAGGTAGGTCTAGTAGTTCAGATAGTTCAGGTACCTGGTAGATCAAGACTAGGTAGTTCAGGTAGTGTACTAGGTACCTGGTTGATCAAGACTAGGTAGTTCAGGTAGTTTACTAGGTACCTGGTTGATCAAGACTAGGTAGTTCAGGTAGTTTACTAGGTACCTGGTTGATCAAGACTAGGTAGTTCAGGTAGTGTAGTGGGTATCTCCCCCTGGTAATGTTTAGGAACAAGGACGGGTGGAAGCACGGGTTGGTCGACCTGCAATGATTGATCAATTAAAATTTTTACATCAATGTTAATTTTTTGATTTTCTGATTTTGCTTAATAAAGAGGCTGTAATCGAAACTTAACATGACCCTTCATGCAAAGAGGGTAATGTCCGATATACAACAGTACTCTTCAAACATTTGTCTGTTCGTCTAGTAAGAGTAAAATGTGTTTGAACAATCGAACCCCGATTATATTCAGCTGCAATTTCCAGCGTGCGCTACATATGTACACCACCAACTCCAGACAGTGCACACTAGGAATTGCAGCTAAATACAAGTGCACATTAGAAATTGCAGCTGAATACAAGCGGGTTTCGATAAGTGTATACTAACATATCTCTGGGGAAGACACAATGGGTTTTAAGGGTACTGTTGTAAATCGGACATTGCCTTCTTTTGCATGGAGGGTCAACTGAAAGTACACTTACAGTTCATTTAAATAGTTATGAGACATTTAGATTTTTGACGTTAAAATGGTTTCACGAAAATGTGAGTTTCTAATTAAATTGCGAAATTGTTTCCTCTATAAGTTTTCTTAAATTACAATATGCGAATTTTTTTCTCTCCTTAAAGATGTTAACATAAACTGAAAAATCTTTTGGTTAATATCATTGGTCANATATTTTTAAAAAATGTATTTATTTTCAAGGATCGAAAGGACGAGGATTTCGAGGTGGTTCGGACGAGAAAATGATGAGAATGTGGTTCGGACTGGAGATTGATGTGGTTGGCCTTCCTCCCCTCCATGTGCAGAGTCCCACACAAAATTTGGGCCCGATCAGTATAGTCGTTTTGACGTTTATTGGATGCAAACAAAGAGACAGACAAGCAAAGTATATTTTGTAATGTACAGATAAAAATTATTAATTCAACTTACAGTTTTCAACAGGTTTGAGTTCGTGGTGTGAACTAAGTTCTGGATAGCGCCACAATCTACAGAGAAAATGATTTGTCTTTTTATTCATTGATATTCTTATATTTTTATCCAATTATAATTGACATTTTATTCCTAATTATACTTGTTTTACATCGCGCGTGAAGTATTTCATTAACAATAAAAATATTCTTGATGTATAAAAAATCATTATTTCAACTATCTTTTTGGAAAAATTGACGAAATTAAATTTTTTTGTCAAATTTTCGGAGCTTGCACGGGTTCTAAAATTTAATTATAGCTAAAATCAAAGATTAATAAACCCTAAATCTTGAAAAGACGACATCTAGTGTTCTATCTGTTATTGTCAACGAGGTTATAGTGTATAGAGTGATAATGTACGCTACTCCTTTACTAATTGTATAGGCAATCAACTATACCGAGAGCGTACTGCATATTTGTTAGTTATAAAAGGATTCTTTCCTAACCTATAGTATATCAATATTAGTAAACAGTTGTAAGTGTACAGTACAGCTAACTGAGCACACAGGTAGGAAACTATCATCCCCTCAGAGCCCGAAACTTAAGACAGGGTATCGTTCTGAAAACCAGTTTTAAAACCTGGGTTTCACGAACAGGGTTAGGCAGTTTTGTGAATTTCAATATTTTTGTTATGAAATATTATTTTATTCAGTTTGTTTATATTTTCAATTTTTTTCGAATCTCTTAAATCAGAATCTACACAAATGCTAATACCCCAAAAACGATACTCTTTTAAATTTCGGGCTCTGGTTATTATTAATTAATTACTCTCTTATTCAACTCAATATATTTGCAAAGATATAGAGATTAGAAAATTTGAGTTTGTGGCAAAAACTCAATTTCTTACATTTTCCAAAAAGATTTGTTATTTACACTTAATATTGTTTTCTTGTGTTTTAATTTCCGGAAATTTAATTTTCAGGTCAATAATATTTATTTATCGAGTTTAAACAACAAACCTTGGGGTAAAGTGAGATTTTTTTCCTAAATGAAATGATTTTAATTAAATTGCGCAAATTCGTTTTCATCGACTACCCAGTATCCAGTATCCAGTATCAAGAAAAGTGAAAAACCGACAACAAAAAAAGTTTGCTCCATGATGGATATAAATAGAAACATATGATAGATTGCATATCATAAATCAATGTTAATAATTAAATATTAAATCTTTCTTCGGTGTTAATGTTGAAATATTTATCAATATACAGTGTGAACCAAAAAACTCTGAACTAGGAAGACGACTTTCGACTCAATTTATGGCTTTAATTACTGTGATGACCATGAGACACCACAATTGTTTTAATGTCGTCTTCCTATTCTACAATTTTCTGGTCATCACTGAATTTCTATATTATGAAACCTCCTATATTTCCATACTATAAAACCTCCTATATTTCTATATCATAAAACCTTCTGTATTTCTATATTATGAAATCTCCTATATTTCTATATTATAAAACCTCCTATATTTCTATATAATAAAACCTTCTGTGTTTCTATATTATAAAACCTCCTATATTTCTATATTATTAAACCTTCTTATTTCTATATTATAAAACCTCCTATATTTCTCTATTATAAAACCTCCTATATTTCTATATTATAAAACCTCCTATATTTCTATATTTATATTTATTTAGAATAAATTGCATATCAATGAAATTATTACCCTCCGATATTTGATTTTTTGTTTTTGTTTTTAAAATTAAAAATTCGACAAGTAAAACCCAAAATTTGCTCAATATTTCTTTTGTATACTTTTCTCTGTTGTTCAGGGTGTAAATTATTAACAAAAAATTATTAAAACTGATGATTAAGTTTTTTCTAAAACTTTTTACTCTTGAGGCAAGAGAATTGGAACGTTTTGAGTGAGCAAGAAGCGTGGAATATTTTATATATGATTATTAAATTAATGTTTACTTGGTTTGGGTTAAAATACAGTGAAACCCTTAATAACGAATAATATCTGCAACATTCCATTATCAGAAAGCGAAGAATACGACATTTGATGAATTCTTTCGATGTATTCGTTATAAAGGGTTTCACTGTAGCACGTTTTAAAACTTAAAATAGAACGCGTTACATGAAATTTTCCCGCACAACGCATTTATTTTATAACAAACAACTTTACTTCCTATTAAATTAAAACCAGAGATATACAAGGAATTGAAGCTTTACCACAAACTCAAATTATCTTTAATTGCAAACTGATGGTGTAAACTTTTGATATTTCATACTTAGTTTATTTGATCTAAAAGAATTCAATATCTATCGTCTATAACTACATTAATTTTCAAAGATATAGGGATTAGAAAATCAGAGTTTATAGCAAAGACTCAATTCCTTTATCACAGCCATTTATGACATTATGCATCAATTATTGGAACCGGGACGGGACGTCTTTAAATTAGTTCGCGGCATAAGTTCATTGTTTACTTTTTTACAGCCCTGAAAAATAGAATTTCAAAAGATTCAACAATCTGGATACCTGCAGTATATCACGTGAGGAAGTCCTTTCTTCTGACTCACCTAACAAATAAGTCAGTGAGAGTCATTATTTACATGACAGAAATTCGTCTTTTTACGTCAAAAATTTTTTTTCGAGAGAGAATGAAGAAATCAAGTCTTTGTCACAAACTCTGATTTTCTAATCTTTGCAACATGATGTCTCATATCATAGATATTTCAAACTATGTATACTCTGATGGATCAAATAATCAAAGTTTAAAATATGTTTTGTTTACACCATCAGGTTGCAAAGAAAAAGGGATTAGTAACTTTGAGTTTGTGACAAAGACTCAATTCCTTTTATCTACTTTGAGAATCTGAAACATAACTATATCACGAGTGGAAAAATCTGCGACTATATGGTTTTAACATGGTTTAATTGTCCACATGGGTATCTTTGTGCATTTTAATTTGAAATCTTTAAATGAGTGAACAAGTGATTATATTCCAATTTATTTTTTTCAATTGAACATTTTTTCTTTGTGTACAATGTAAAACAAAAACAAACAAAAAAGTTCGCGGATTTGATGAAAAACATTTCTTGGTTTCACAAATGAAAATCGAATTTTGTTGGAGGCTAATTTTTAATCATTCATAAACTTTCCCTGGGGTCATATGGAGTCCCATATAAAATTTGGGCCCGATCGGTTCAGCCGTTTTGACGTTTATTGGATACAAACAAAGAGACAGACAGACAAGCAAAGTATATACATACAGATAAAAATGATTAATTCAACTTACAGTTTTCAACAGGCTTGAGTTCGTGGTGTGAACTGAGTTCTGGATAGCGCCACAATCTACAGAGAAAAATATTTATTTATTGATATTCTTATATTCTTATCCAATTACAATTAACATTTTATACCTAATTATACTTGTTTTTATATCGCGCGTGAAATATTTCATTAATAATAAAAATTTTCTTGATGAATTAATAATCATTATTTTAACTATCTTTTTGGAAAAATTAACAAATTAAATTGTCAAATTTTTGGAGCTTTCACGGATTTTAAAATTTAGGCATTTGTCATATTCTGTTGTGCGCGGGTGCCCCGTGGAGTTCCGGGGCGGAGAGAGGGGGATTGAATTTTGTAGATCCAGAAAAATAATATCTGTGGGATGCCTGCGTAGAGACTGGAAGCTGGTGGGGTCTTAAATGTAAGACATGTGGCCGCAGCGCTCGGCCCCATAGCCTGTCCTA